GAGACATTAGAGCTGAGTGGTGGGGATCCTCCATCCTGAGCCTTGACCTGGAACTGAATCTTCTTAAAATTTTCGTAATCAAATGAGGTTAATGCATAGATAGCCCCTGTCTCAGAATTAATGGAGACATAAGAGGAGAGAAATGATTCAGTTGTCTGGTCTCCAATCATAGAATACCTTATTACTGCATTCCCTTTCCAGTCTGGATCATTTGCTTTTAAGGAACATATCAAAGCACCCATTTGGTTATTTTCTACAACATAGAAAGGATAAACTGATTTCTCAAAGAACGGTGGGTTGTCATTTGTGTCTATGATGTATAGTCCAATTACTGTGGCTGTCGAGAGAGGAGGCATTCCATGGTCAGTAACTGTTACAGTTATATTAAAGGCTGATACCTGTTCTCTGTCAAGGGGGTTATCTGTCATCAAACTATAAAACCAGTCAGAGGACTTCTTTAATTGGAAAGGGAGGTTGTCTGGAATGGAGACTGTGATTTCTCCATTGACTCCAGAATCTCTGTCTCGTACATTTAGAATGGCAATAACAGTTCCTGGTGGTGAACTTTCAAGTATGGAGTTGGTGACAAAAGTAACTGCTAGTTCAGGTGCATTGTCATTCAAATCTGTAATGAAGATAACAACCTTTGATCTATCAGTAAAACCTCCCCCATCTTTGGCCTGTACTTCAAATTCATAGAAGGACAATTCTTCATAATCAAGATACCCAGTGAGTATAATTTCACCCGTTGTGGAATTAAGGTGAAATATGGGAACTTCTAGTTTTGTAGTCTTTTTCAGGGAGTATTTCACCTCTCCATTAAGCCCTTCATCAAGATCAGTGGCATGTACAGTGGCAATAATAGATCCTTTAGGAATATTCTCTTTGACATTCACTTCATAGATATGCTGGCTAAAAACCGGTGCATTGTCATTTGCATCTAAAACAATTACTTTGATTTCTGCAGTGCCAGATTGGATAGGATCACCTCCATCACTAGCTGTAAGGAGTAGATTATAAACAGATTGCTCCTCTCTGTCTAGAAATTTTTCCAGTATCAGTTCAGTATGCCTGAAACCATTTTTTCCTATTTGTGTATCCAGAGAAAAATGGCTACTACCTCTGAGTTGATAGCTCTGTATCGAATTTATTCCCAGATCTGGATCTTGAGCTTCGGTAAGAGGGACCCGGAATCCAGGTGTAGATGCCTCACTGATTTCCAACTCTTGTTCCCATAGAGGGAAATGAGGAGCATTATCATTTATGTCAGTAATTTCCACTTCAATTGCATAAAGCTTTAATTTACTTTCAATAAGAATCTGGAACTTCAATATACACTTCTCTACCTGTCCACATATTTCTTCCCGGTCAATTCTCTCAGATGTTTCTAAATGGCCATTGTTGACATTGAAAGCAAAATACTGGATCATACCTACATTGGGAATAATGCGGAGTCCACTGTCTGAAATCTTCCTTCCATCCATTTCTAGGTCCTTTGCAATATTTCCCACAAAAGAGCCTTTGTGCATCTCCTCAGGAATAGAATAATGAATTTGCCCAGAAACCATCTTGCAAGCAAAAATAATAGCAAGGCATTGCAGGATCTCCCTTTTACAGCTGCAGGTTCTTTGTGTTTCTTCCATTCTTTAGATGCACAATGAAAACACCTATTTCAAAGCCAGATGGAAAATGCACCTCTTCGTTTTTATACTATCAGCTAGCTTGTTCTTTCACTTACTTGGAAAATGTAAAGTATGTAAAGAACAGCAACGCAGGACTGTTTTGAGGTTTGGTTTCTCTTCCTTCCTGGTGAACAGTGACACCCAGAGGCTCAGCTCAGAGTGACAGAAAGCTTATTTTGAATACCAGGTATCATTTGACTACTGCTACTAAAAAAATTGAATAAAAGTCAAATCACGTGTTATCTATTGTAGAAAGAAGCCTTCCAAAACAAAAATGTAGGGAGGAACTTTATGTTAATTTCTATATCTTTCCCCCATATACAGGACCTATCTATTTTTTTCTGTTCAGTCCAACAGAAAGGAAACAGGAAGGGCATTGTGGTTCCTGTATTTGATGGACAGACTGGAATAAATATTTTATGTTTTACCAAGCAATGTTGTCCAGTGGGTTTTCTAAGGAGATTAGAAGGGAAACAAAAATTGGAAGGTGCAGGTGCTTCTTGTTTAATTGATGTTAGCTAAAACAAAGAATCTATGCAAAGGTTTAATATGAATAGATTTGGATACATATTGCATTAAAACTTAGAGGTAATGCTTATGGGTAATCCTGTACCCATAATCTGTCCTCTTCCCCATCAGGCTCCTCACAGTAGGGCACAATCAAAGAAGCAAGAATTACACAGACTTCAGTAAGCTGTTTTAATGCACAGATTATGGGTAAAGTACAGAATTTTGGAACCTGTACCTGTAGCCCCTATTTATTAGGGGGTTCATAAAGGCAGAGTCTTTTTGAATGTTCTGAATTGCTTCTTCCTGAAAGCTGAACTGCACTGCCCTTTTTGGGAGAAACTACTAACAAACTCTTCTCCCCTCTGTGGGTTGTTTATGTCTAGCATTCCTCTCATTCCTTTCTCAGCCTCCTCACAATCCCTCACACCACCCATTTTCTCATTCATTTCTCCTCCTCCTTTCCTCCCAGGATGTTCTTTTTTTCCTTCATGTTCATTTCCTCAATACTAGCCTTCATTTATCTCATGCCTCTAAAGTCATGATTTCCTTTGTTTACTTGCTCATATTTTTGTTTACATATTCACTGTCTTCAGTACCATATCATCAACTTTATTCTGCAGAGGTTAGATCAAAGACATTATAAGCAGCCAAAAAAGCTGATTCAACATTTCCTCTGAGAGGACCAACAAAATCTGTTAAGCTCATTAACAGCAACTCATTGGAGAATGTGACTACAACTGGCAAATTTCTTAGATCGTAGATTCCCTTTTTTACAAGAATCCCACTTTATCAGTTGGAACATTTTTTTTTAATCCCAATCCCTGGTTTGATAGAGAATGTGTAGTTAGAGAATGAAAATAAGTCTCCCCCACCCCAAATACCTTGTCAGGAATCAAGAAAAAAGGTCATGCCTGGAAGGCCCACTGGCACCAATTAGTTAAGCTTCCTGACCTAATTGTACAGCTGGTTTTTATCATTTAATAGCAGATTGTTGACAGGGTTTTTCGGTAATTTCTGAATCACTTTGGGCTAATTTCTGATTTGCTTCATTTGGACAGAACCAAATTGGCTGGAGTTAAAAGTGGGGCAAATCTCTAGAAGGGACCATCTATCCACTGGAACTGTTTCAAAGGAATAACCATTCTAGCAATTTCATTTACTCCTGCATTTTGATGCTTTAGCAGCCTCTGAATCTCCAGTTACTTTGAATGTATTGGAAAAAAAATCCTCTTATGGAGGAGAAGCCAACAATCCCAAAGTTTAGCAAAATAAATGTAGATAATGTACAAGAAATTTAGAAGAGGGAACTACTAGTTCAGTAAATTTTGAAGAGATATATAGTTTGGTGAATTTAATAGAAATATCTCAAGTTAAAATGAAATTACAACCTTCAAAATCTGTTCCATTCTTTATGAATCATTTTCCAGTATTTTGGGTCTTTACAACATTACCATCACATATGAACAAAGTTACCAACCTGTTCATTACCTCTCCAGCATTATTTAGAGAAAGAAGTATTCATTTTGACAATCAAGGCTGGAGTAATATACCAACAATACAGGTAGTCCTCGCTTAACAATGCTAATTGACCACAACTTACAACTTCCTGCCGGCTTCCCCATTGACTTTGCTTGTGGGAGGCTGGCAGGGAAGGTCCCAAATTGCAGTCAAGTGACTGTGAGATTCTGCGATGTCATAATCGTGAGCCAGGTGCCAAGTGCCTGGATCACAATCACATGACTGCAGGGACACTGTGCCGACTGTAAGTACAAGGATCAATCATACCTACCACTCATTCAGTGCTGTTGTAAGTTTGAACAGTCACTGAACGAGTGGTCATTAAATGAGGATCACCTTGAAAACATCTTATAGCAAGTCTCTCTAAGTAAATGTAGTAAAATGTAGAAGTAAATGTAATATTTTTCTTCCACTGAAATTCATGCTGTGGCATATCTTTAACTGTTCAAATTCTGCATCAGTTTTTAATTGATCATAGAGTCTTTAACTTGTTCAGATTCTAAATCATAATAATTTATAAATTATACCTAACAGATGTTCGGTATTATGTATTATAAGATTTTCAAATTCAGTCAAAACCCTCATTGTTTCTCCTCATTTCTGCAATTCTTTTGTTGCAGCTATTTATTTGAAAATACTGAAACCCATCAAGTATAGTAGAGCATTGTGTGGTATGAGACTCAAAGGTTTTTTCTTTGTCTTATTAAAAATAAAGTCTTGCTGCCTAAACAAGTTACTGTCTTTCCACTGAGCGAACTGCAATGTACCCTTAACTATTGGTTAAAACTGTTATTCTCCCCGGGTTTTGACTGAATTTGAAAATCTTATAATACATAATACCGAATTTTTCTTTGTCTTATTAAAAATAAAGTCTTGCTGCCTAAACAAGTTACTGTCTTTCCACTGAGCGAACTGCAATGTACCCTATTGGTTAAAACTGTTATTCTCCCCATTGGCCTGGTCAGTAGTTTATCCACATTAGGCAGCAACTGGTTCTGACAATAATTTGTCATATCAGCCTTTCAAAATGAGAAATACCAATAATCTAGTTGTACCAATAGAAAAGCTGATTTTTTTCAATTAAGCACAGTGACTCGCAATAACACCAATAAGACAAGAGGCCCTCAAACTTTGTAGTGCCATAAATCACTAACATTTCAGATAGGATTGATTTTTTTCATCATCTTGATATCGCAAATTCAAGAATCTGCTCCAAATCTGCTCCAGTTTAACTAAAACTAAATTGAAGTTGAGAAATTCAGGGGTTTTGGAATGTAAGACTGACAGAATGTTTTTTTCAATATAAAGCATGTTTTTTTCAATATAAAGCATGTTTTTTTCAATATAAAGCAAGTTTTACGGCATTTCTTGATAATACAGGATTTAAAAATTTGGTCCTACTCGTTTTGCCAGAGAAGGAAGACATAAAGAGATAAAAGTGTGAGCTCACTCTTGAGCACGGATGGTGAAAGTATGAGCATTAAAAGAATTTTTTCCTTCTTTAGCTCCCCTGTCTCCTTTTTAATATTGATGACACAATATACCTTCAGATAATCAAAGCAATTTTAAAGGCTTTATTAATTAAGAGGCCTCAACTTTAATCCTAAATCCACTGGTACACTTCTGCTTAGAATTAGGTTGTGTAATATAATTTTGGGCCCAAAACATCGGAGAAAATTTCATCCATCAATGACAATTATATACATTGAGCCCCAGTATTTTCAGTACCATTAGAACTAAGGTATACGCTCTTACTTTTTCCCCACCCTGCCAGGACAAGCTCTCTGTCTGTGAAGTCTGGAGCATGCAAAGCCCAGTTCCTGTCAGACGCACTACAGGCTTTCCTTTCTCCTCTGCTTCTTCAGGAGAGAAGGAAAAAATGTGAGGTTTTATCTTAACAGTAAGGTGTGCAGTAGTCTAACAACTGGTTCTCATGAACCAGAGCAAACTGGTTGGGTAACACCCCTGAACTGATGTTTCTAATTCTACAGGAGAGTTTCCAGTCGTCTTGGACAAGAACTGTGGAGAGAAAGTTCTCTGTGTGCCCTCCTGAGGATCCATTTTATTGAAATCTGTACTTCAGCTGTATGAATTCATGTGTTGTAAGGGAGATATAATAGGGATTTCTGCAAGAATGTATCACCCATCTTCTACCTAATGCCCTGGAAGATCAGAATAATGTTATTTACATTAGCTTTCATACAGTTGTTACTGAGAAAGGACAGCACTATAGTGATGTTTTAGAAACCTTTATTTAACAGTTTTTAGGATCACATGTAAGTTCTGTCTGTTCGCAAGAGTGGCACTATTGGCAATATCTTCAAAAGGCAAACCTGACATCCATATATGGGCCAGCATCCCTCTACTGGAGGATTTAATGTGTGCTTTAGAAAACAATAAGCCCATAACAGCTATTAATGAATGGTTGTCAGAATACACTATATTAGATGTTCAAGCATATAAGAAGGCATGTAATAAGGACTTAGAATGTGAGGAAAAGAACATCAGTGAAAGATCATTTTGGTCTGTGATTGTCCTACAATTAGTTCAAGAAAAATATTCTCTTATATGTACTGGACACCCATATGTTTATTTAGAAAGAAAGTGATAAGTTCAGGTAATTATTGCAGATATGATGCTCAAAATAGATCATTGATTCATGTAGTATAGTGGCTCTCTTTCGCACAGAAATCGTTTCACATTTTAAAATGAATATTACTGTGACAACTTCATCCTTATATCCTCTCTCTTCAGGGCCCCAGACTTTTGCTTCTTGTTCAGCAGTCTCTTGTGCCAACCATAAAGACTTAGGACTTGCTCTTTCCTTATGGCAAATTGGTTTCCCTGTCAACTCACAATATAATGCCTCCCTTGCTTGACCTCTCAAATCTTCAACTTCTCTTAGGAGCTAAGGGGTAGTAATTCACTGCCACAATCCTCTTAACCTTTTCCTTAAGCATTGTAGTAAGTTTGCTTGCTACTTCTTGGCAAGGTAGAACAATGTGGGATAGACAGTACCACTACCAGATGAATTTGCAGTTGGCTAACCAACCATATTCAGCATGTGGTCCTTAATTGAACTACACCTAAGTGGAGCAAAGTGTGCAGTGGGGTACCTCAAGGTTCTGTCATGGGTCCAGTGCTCTTCAACATCTTCATAAATGACCTAGATGAGGGGGTTTGAAGGGGCGCTCATCCAATTTGCGGATAACACAAAGCTGGGGGGAATTGCTAACACTTCAAAAGATAGATTCAAGATTCAGAAGGATCTTGACAGACTTGAGCT